CTTTAGAATGTAAGAATTTTTTGGAGATAATAATGATTTAACTAATTAACCCATAGCTGGGAGGAGAAGAGGTGGATTCATACCTTTCTCAAGGGTATTTACAGGTAAATAAATATAATGAACCTGGCTGGAAATGAAACTCCGAGTTCCAATTTCAAGCCATTATTTATTACACCACCCACACATCCAAGCTTGTAGAACTTGATTTTTTCAAGTGGTCACCCATACAGGTACTGACCAGGCTCGATATTACTTAACTTTGGTGAATGTACAAGAACCAGTGCTTCAACGTGATATGGCTGTTTGCCCTACAGACTATGATATAAAAACCAAATACATTAACGTGTAATAGAATGACAAGAGGATGTCATCAAGACTTGAAGATAGGTACCGTTGTATAGTCTAGATCTTTATGCTAATGAGGGGGGGCAGCAGGTGGGGGGGTGTAGACCAGAGCACACACTTGAGCACGGAGGCACTATCATTAAAAGATCTATGGTTACAGCAAAAATTACACAAGCAGCACAAGAATTCAAAGCATTTAGTAGATTTGTCCTGCATTTAAAACAACTGACTTTTTCCTTTGTTGTTTTTTTTTTTTTTGGTTTAGAAAGCATTTACTGACCATCTCTTATTAAGTGAAACAAATGACATGATAGGCGCAAAAAGTTTTATTCTGGGACATAATCTTGCTGATGGTGATGACATCAGTTAACATTATGAAGGATACAAGATGTTCACAATCCCCCTGGGTGGGAGACCTATTTTGATAGAGGAACACCCCCTGTAGGTGCTAATTGGCAATAAGCTAAGAACACTCTGTGAGTATGTATTCAGCTCCAAATCCACTTTGGTACGATCAGTGTACAAAATATAACAGACACCAGAATAAAAACAATACAAAGTCAAGACACCGGGCTACACAGGCGAATGGATGATGTCAATATCCAGCAAAATGAAATACCTTTCTGGGAGATATCAGAATTAATTTAGACACTGTGGATATTCAAACCACTTTTTGGACATGAAAGTCATGCTTAAAGGTTTGAATGTTGGTGGTACCATATTTAGTGTGTGTGTGTGTGTGTGTGTGTGTGTGTGTTCTGACAGTGGACAGATTTAGTTTTTTGGCAGGTACCAATCAGGCAAGGTTAGAGTGGCTCTTGATTTCAATGCACTGAAAACTGTCTGAAAGACAGATAAACCAATTCCAAATGTTTGACTTTACCGAAACTCCAAGAAAAAAGACAAGTGTCAAATGAGGCTTTTAAACCATACAATATCACATTTTAAGTAACTGATTGACTTTTGGATTGGGTTTGAGTAATTTAGAGGTATCTTAATTGTGTGACAAAGCAAACAAGGATGAGGAAGTCAATAAATAATCAATAAAGCCATTTAGGTATAATAATAAAACAAACAAAAAAAAAAACACAAAAAAAAAAACAAGAGTAAACTAACAAGCATAACATAAAAATACCAATTAGTTTATAGACTTTTTAGTTGAGAGTTATAAATTTTCAAATTTGAATTCCAAACCTTTAATTTTTTTTTTAAGGTTTGGGATTCAAATTAAAAAAAAAAACAAAACAAAAAAAAAACAAGCTTTTAGGGAAGATATTTTTTTCTGATTTTTGAAATACATTTTTTTTTAAAATAACTTCTATGAAATTAAAGAAGACAAGAATAATCTCCATGTTAGTGAGAAAGTTAATGTCAAAAATGTGTGTGTGCATGAAGTAAAAGGTGAATTTGAAAAATAGAATTATATATATATATATATATATATATATATATATATATATATATATATATATATATATAATTGGATGGAGAGAAAACGAAACAATCCTATTTTTTTCAGTAGTGAATTGAAGAGAAAAAATCGAAATGAAAACTTTTTTCTTAACCTATTTATAATTAATATTTTTTTTAATTCTACCCAAAAAGGAATTCATTTTTTTTTTTTTTAATTCTTTTTAAAATGAATTAATATGCTATCAAATGTCACTATGTGATGTCATATCAACAAACTATTTCAACAGTCATTCTACAATCAACTTCATCGCCATATACAAAACTGTCTTGGATCATTTCTCCGATTCACTGTCAGAGAAAGAAGACTGAAGACAAAAATATTCGTGAAATAGCTTATCAGTTGCTCACTCATAATTAAATTAACAAACATCCTTCTTTCTCAAAATTATCCCCTCCCCCACAAAAAAAAAACCTCCAACAATCAGGATTTTAGGCTTAACATTAAATACTTCTCTTTTTTGAAACCCTGTGCCAGGTATTGACATCAAATCACATAAGAATGTAAATTAAAGGTTGCACCTAGCAAAAATATTCTTCTAATTTCATATCACATTTTATTCGTTTATATTAGATACAGGTGAGGCTTGATCCACTAAGATGATGAATAGGGGTTTAGACTGAAGTCCTGACAAATGTGACCTTGGCGTAGCATTAAAACCATTTTTTTTTTATATATATATATATATATATATATAATATTCCCCTGTTTTGGAACAGCCAGCAAGTGGCTAAGATAGTCTCTACAGTTAGTCATCTTCTGTGTTGGTGCAGGATTTGGTGGTTGTCGTATACTTTTGTACTTACAAAGATAGGGTATAGGGGAGGGGTTAATGACAGGAAGAAAGTATTTTCCTGCTAAAATAAAAATTTTAAATTAATAGTCACCTTTAGGTCAAAAAACATTTGATGGGAGGGGATCCAGTAGACGTAAAGCAAAGATAAACAGAGATTTTTTTGGTCTAAATACATCTTGTGTTTATCTAATATTTGGGTGAGATGAAGGTTTCTCTTCTGGCACAAGAAAAACTAATATAATTACTTATATGTACAAGTTTTTTTTTTTTTTTGTTTTCTCTTTTTGTTGGGATTTCATAACTGGTCAAAAATTCCGAAGATACATTTAATACATAAAGCATAAAACAAGGTACTGCTTGCTTGTTTTTTTTCATTTCACTTCGTTTTATTTTATTCTTTTTGTAATTTTTTTATGTTTATCAAGGGAGGTAATCATTTTTTTTTTCTTATCACCCAGGATCGAGAGAATAATAATAACAACCGTATTTGACCAGAAAAAATATAAATAAATAAATCACACAGTTTGGTGATTGATATTGGTTAAAAAAAAAAAAAAAAAGAAAAAATTCTGAGAAAGAAGGAATCAAAAATTATGTAAGACATTCTGAAAAGATCATTTTTTTTTTCCAAATAATTCTAGATATTTCAACTTGAACATCTATGGAAATTTCTATTCATCTGGAGACCGATACACAAAACAAGCTGTTACATCAACAAAAATATAAATATAGATGTGTTATATATATATATATATATATATATATATATGATTTTTTTTTTGTTGTTTTGGTGAAGATGGTGATTGGTTTCTTAAAATTTTGAAAATTTCCTTGTCTTTTATTTTTTGTGATTGTTACTAAAAGTTTGGTGTTAAAAATAGTTAAAAGCTAAATTTAGAACATTTTTTTTTATGTTCCAGATTTGCATTTAGACAAAAGGGAAAAAATATTTTTCTCAAAACTTTGATCTCCCAAATTTGTATTCCTACCACGTATTTCCTTTGAAAACAAAGAGAGATAAAAAAAAAACTAAAAAAAAAAAAGAAAAACTCCTTCCTGGTTACAATTTGGGAACCAGCAGGACGATTCTTAAATGCAGCAAACAATCATTTTGTTTTCAAAACGTCTCCTATCAACTATTTTACTATTCGCATAATTATTACAGGTATCATTAATATTGTAAATACAATTATCGTCCGAAAATTGTGGTTGTCACCTTTTAGACAAAACAATAGAAAGAAAGACAGAGAAAAACAAAGAGGGAAAGAGGGAGGGGCTAGGGACGAAGGATGGGGAGGAGAGTAATATATTAACACTAAGATGATAATGAAATATATACATACATTTATATATGTATATATACATGTGATGTGATATATATATATATATATATATATATATATATATATATATATATGTGTAATTATTTCATATCTACAGACACCAACAAGTATGTATCAGTATACATATATGTCTATATATGCACACACTATATATATATATATATATATATATATATATATATATATATATATATACATACACACACACACATACTTTTGCACACCTATAAACATGCTTGAGTGTGTATAGGTATGCAAATATATAATACCTATGTGTGTATGTATATATATATATATATATATATATATATATATATATATGCATGTGTGTGTACATATATACCAACCCACTTATGCATACATGGGATATACATATATTCATACATATTTGTGTATGTCTGTGTGTGTGTGTGCATATATATATATATATATATATATATATATATATATAATAAACACATCAATATTTAGCTATATACATATACTGAATATGTGAGACAGTATGCTGGCCAGAGATCTGAGTATCTAGATATGTGGTATGTGTGCCTGTATAGGTATCTGGCCCCTCAACAAACAGGAGTGACTGACAGCCACTGGGCTGATTCAGGGGTGCAGTCACCATGAGGGGCCAGGATTCAGACAGACAAATAAAGAGGAAATGGGCAGAGAATGAAAACTCAGTCCAAACATATTAAAGCAGTCATTAGCGTTTTTTTTTGATTTGAGAAATCAGTTTCATTTTAAATCATTAAGTTCTCTTCTTGCTGTTATAATTAACCATGATTATTATTATTATTAATTGTTATTACACATTTTTTCCTGGGGAAAGGGGAAGGGGTTGAGAGTTTAAAAATGTTTTTTGTTTTTCTTTTTGTAACTTGATTTTCCTGTTTGTTAATTGTCTTTTTTTTGTTTTTCTTTTTGTCCTGTTTTGAATAGAGTCTTATATTGGCCATAGAGATGTCGTCCACTGCAAGACAGGCTTTTTGCTCACCACAGCAGCAAGTGTTGTGTCACTCACTGCTGGGTTAGAAATGTTTGCTGGTCATATTTTCACGGACTGTTTTCTTCGTGACAGTTTGGACCTGTAGAAATAAAAGAGGAAAATATTAGAATTTGATTCCAAAATATCAAAATGATACATTCCTATTTATTAAGGAGGTGCAGGTGGTGTAATGGATAGTGGCTTGGAATGGGAAATCAGAGAGCTGAGTTCAAATCCCAGTTGGGTTTGTTACATTTACTTATGTGCAAATACCTTTGGGAAAGGTATGAATCCATCTTGAAGCTTTTGTACACGGTCCTCCCAGCCTTGTGAAGTAATAACAGCTTGGATTGAGGAATCGGAGAGCCAGGCTAGAATTCCAATTGAGATGTTGACATTCCACACAATAGCAGACCACATCATGTTGAAACACCAGTTCCTGTACGATCACTGAAGTTAAGCAACGTTGAGCCTGGTCAGTACCTAAATGCGTGACCATTTTGAGAATACCAGGTGCTGTAAGTTTGGATATGAGATTGGTGAAATGGATAACGACTCAGAATTATTAATCAGAGAGCCAAGTTCCAATTCCGGTTAGGTTTGTTATATTCACTTATGCACAAATACCCTTGGGAAAGGTATGATGAATCCACCACTTCTCTCCCCCCCCAGCCGTATGTTAATTAGTAAAATTTGTAACACTAAACCACTATTATCTCCAAAAATAAATTATTTTCTGGCTTTAAATAACCTGCAAAGGGTTGATAAACCATGAAAAATGAATGAATCAATTGAATACTGATTGGCTATGCAGGCATGTCTTTTAGATTTATTTCCATTCTTTGGAATATAAATGTATAGAAAATACCATGGCCACAAAGTGAAGGATCAATTTATATATTGATTGTAATATAGAATTGATCCCCCACTTTATATCCACATTATAATTTCTTGTTTGTTTATCAAATTCTGATTAGGCCTGAATCCACCTCTTCTCCCCTCAGCTATGGGTTAATTAATAAGACTTGTTATCACTGAAGCCATTATTATCTAAAAAAAAAGATTGCGTGGCAAATTATTTCAATTTTGGCATTAAATAACCCATAGATGATGATATGTCGCTAAACAAAAAGCAACTAACCAACCCATTTGGGTTATATCCACATGTACTGAAGCTATCTCCATTCTGACTGGTTTTGAATTCAGAGTTGACCATCTTCTAGACTGGTTGCCACCCAAGGCTAGAGAACCCAATCTTTCCTGCTATTTAACCCATGGCTGCATGTATATACAGTCCAGATTAATTTTGAAAGAAACTTACCTGATTTGTCCAGCCAGAAGAGGGTTAATAGCATATAGCCAATCATGGAAGTCTTTGTCATCAAGTGTTTGCAGGAAAAATCCCCGGTGCTTGGTCATAACAGAGAATGTATTGCGGGTCTAGAGAAAAAGAAAAAGGAAGTCAGTTTATCAAAAAAGGAAGGCATTGTTTATAAAGCAGAGCAAAATCAGCTCCTGCATTTGTACGACACATAAGTCAATGACATTTGTTTCCATTTCTAAAATGATCAATAGAGACCTAATCTTTGTTAGCAGCAGGTATGAATTTGGTTTACCCGTTTTGTTCCTCATGCTGTTAATTTCTAGGCCCGTGTTTATAAAGCAAAAGCTTTCAGAAAAAGCATATCTTCCTAATGAAGAAAAATTCATCTTGACTCCTTAAGGTGGGAAGTATCCAAATGCAGCTGCAAGTTTCACACACTTACAGTCCAGGAGTGCTTGAATGTGCCCACAATTAGGTACTATAGTATTTCAGTACACCTGTCACATGATCAACTAGTGTCATCAGAAATCTATAATCGATAGATTTCCAAAACCAAATCACATACCAAAGAGGTTAAATTTGGTATCATTTAAAAGAGAAACTAATTTGATTTTATATAAAATAAACTTGTCAGAATTGATTTTCAATGGCCTTTGAGATATATCAGATTAATTGTACTAACAACACATATTCACCTTTTTCAACAATATACTTGGGACTCCAGTAACTTAACAACTGAAATTTGTTAAGGGCTAATAGGTTTTAATGTTAATAAATAAAAGGCAGATATTGACATCTCTTACTATTCCCTTATTACTCTCATACCCATTAATGATCCCTACAATTAATGTTAATAAATAAAAGCCCATATTAAACTTTTAGGAATACTGGAATCTCACAATTACATTTCAGCCACAATTCTACATTTACTCGTTTCTCTTGCAGGATCATTGCAATATCCAGATTTTCTGCTATAGATACACAATTCAATTTCCCATAATCTGATTTGTGTGTTTGAAAAGAAGGTTAAGAAATCAGACCAGAATATTCTTTTGTAAGATTTTCAAGAAGAAGCTATTTATCTGAACACCAACCCAGCTGGAATGTGGCCCAAGACTGAAAAATCCAGTTCCAATGTGTAGATATGACTCAAAACTAAAAATAGTCCAGCTTTTGTAAGGTTTTCAAGAAGAAGCCATTTATCTAAAAATCCACTCAAACATTAGAAAAAGCAGGCTAAATTTGGTATCATTTAAGAAAAAATATTTGCTTTTTTATATAAAATGAACTCATCATAATTGACTTTCAGTAGCTTTTGAGATATATCAGTTTAAGTACTCTCACATTACATATTCATACTTTTCAAAAATTTGGTCAGGAGTCAAGGCATTTAATAATTGAAGTCTCTTAAATGTTGATAGTTTTTAGACTTATCAAATGTATAAATGACACTGTGTGTTTTTATACATTTATAATTCGGGAGTGCCTGTATGTGACCGCAATTGGCTAGCACTGTATAACAGTATATTGCATGAACACCTGTCACATGATCAACTAGTGTCATCAGAAATCTATAATTGATAGATTTCCAAAACCAAATCACATACCAAAAAGGTTAAATTTGGTATCATTTCTACTTGTCATAATTGATTTTCAACAGTTTTTGACTTATATCTGTTTAATTCTACTAACAACATATTCAGATTTTTCAACAATTTGGTCAGGACTCCGGGGACTTAACAACTGAAATCTTTTAAGGGCTGATATTCTTCTAGACTTATCAAATGTATAAATGATATACAAATGTATCATCGACAAATGAAGACACAAGACTGAATTTCTTATGCATAATATTACCATTTATTTTACATCAGGTTTTGTCAGTTACTGTTAGTCAATGGGTGTGCAGCTTTGGGGCCCTTCTCCAATCAGAGACTTGACATTCTAGCTAGGATATTAATGACTCGTTTTTCTATTGGGTGTTCATGTATCTGTCATAGAGCTTTTCCCCATATTTGTCAATGCAGACAAGATGCTTTATGACAAAATAAGACACAGACTATAAAGTATCCAGTGTGAATAACAATTGCTTACCTTGAGCATGGCCTGCTGGTCCTCACTATATTCAATCTGTGCTGTGGCAAGGTTGATTAAGCCCCTCTCAACTGGATCACGCTCATTATTATAGATGTAGACGTATGGGCGACGGACAACCTAAACAAAGTCAAGAAAAGACACATTGAACCAAGGAAAAAAAAAAATCACCTACTTTTGAATTTCTTCATTTATTTTTAAAAAGTCCAAAAGGATAAAATCTTATTTAAATCTGATATTCCAAAAGAACAAAACCTCTGAATTATATTTGATGTTCCAAGGGAATAAAACACCTAAATTATATTTTATATTCCTGAGGAACAAAACCCCCAAATTATATTTGATGTTCCAAGGAAAAAAAATCCTTAAATGATATTTGATGTTCCCAGGGGGGCAAAACCTGTAAATTATATCTGATGTACTAGAAATACATTTAAGGAAAGAAATCCAAACCACATGACTGCATTTCAAAAATGCAAAGTCCCTAACAAACAGGAGAGAATTCTAAGAAAGAAATAGAATTTAAGTTCTTCATATGAAATATTTTGAGTAACTAAAATCTTTTTGATATAAAATCTGAAATGATCTTTAGTAGATCTGTCTTAATTCATTTGGATATCCAATGTTTTCTGCTTATTAAACTAAATAATTATAACTAAATTGAAACAAAGGAGAAAAGAAAAAGAAAGATAAACAAGATAGCCACAATGTGAGACAGGTAATTGTAAATGCAAATTATTTGATAAAAACTACAAATCTCTTTCATTGTGGATATTTGGAAGACACTAAGAGTCTTTATATAGAAGATCAATGTGTAGGTTACAGTTCATAAATTAAAGTCTGATAAAAGTTACTCTGAGCATGAAAATTAATTAACAAGAACCTTTTTGTATAAAATTATTCAAGGTGATTTAACCAAAATGTTTAAATAAAAATGAAGCAAAATTTAACTAATTTGTTTTTGTATTTATTCATTTTTGAAACTTTAACACTAGCTTTTTTAATTTATTCACAAAATATTTTAATGGTGTTTTTATTTCACTACGAAAAACCATTATGTCCAAGACACCCCACCACTGCTATGGCTGCACTATATTTAGTATGCTCATGATGGCCTTGCCTATAGGATTTCTAATCATAATCATCTTCACGGTATGAGGATGGCCTTGCTCATGGCATTTCTAATCATAATCATCTTCACGGTATGAGGATGGCCTTGCTCATGGCATTTCTAATCATAATCATCTTCACGGTATGAGGATGGCTTTGCTCATGGGATTTCTAATCATAATCATCTTCACAGTATGAGGGTGGCCTTGCTTATGGGATTTCTAATCATAATTGTGAACAACTATTAATAATCACAAAGTTTAAAAAAAAAAAAAGTTGTTATTTGGGGCACTTCCAGGATAATGGAGGAAAATTTTGGAACTCTGAATGATATAATTGGAATATCATGTGCCTTGTCCTATCATGGTACTCCACACTTTCCTGTCCTTTGTAGCTCTTAGTAAGTTTTATCTTTGTGCTGTTCTGCCAGCTGTTTACACAAGCCCATTCTTCTATGTGCCTTGTCTCTTCAAGACGTGGGCAATCATGGCTCTCCACACATTCTTGTCCTTTGTAGCTATTAGTAAAATATCTTTCCTAGTCCCTGTTATACCATTTACACAAGCATGTTAGGTAGGTTATAGGCTGCTTTCCTCTGTCCCTCTTATCTTCAGCATATCCTGTGAGTGACAAATTCTCGAAGCCCTCTTTCCTCATTAGGTGCCCTAAAAATTTCAACTGTCACTTTCTGATTCTACTTATAATTTCCATTTTATCCAATACTTCCTTATTACACACATGTTCGGTTGATGGTATTCTCAACATCCTTCTGTAAAAGCACTTTTCTGTTGCCTCAAGTTACTTCTTGATCTGTGAAATGATTGTCCAACATTCACTGTTGTAGAGGAGGATTGATATTATATAACAATTCAGCACTCTTTGTTTCTAACATAATTTTTTTGTTTCTAATAAAGCTTAGCTTTTGGAAGGAATCTTTTGCAATTCCAATGAACCTTCAGATTTTTGTGTTGCATATTTAATTCTGTTTTTTTTATTACTAATGTTCCCCCAATACAAGGCCCAAGGGCTACTCAAGGTAGAGGGTTACTGTATGGAGTTGTATTAGCATAAGAAAGGGCAAAATAATAGGAAAGATAGACAGCTAATTTTAGACTTGAGGAGGTCAAGATTTAATTAGTAAATAAAATTTCAAAGTTCAGGCGGAGACGTTAGAAGTATAGAGTTGAAGCACACTTTGGAAAGAACTGGAAACCCAATTCTAAACAGAAAACAAAGGATGAACCTCTACTCCTGTTCAACAGACCTGGGAGGAATGTGAACAGGACAATAGGCAAACCTATGAATTCCTATTGGGAAAGGAAAAATATAATTACTGAATAAAATTTCAGATTTCAGGTGAAGACGTCAGAAATACAGAGTTGAAGGAACTGGAAACCCAATCCTAAACAGAAAACAAGGCATCAAACTCTACTCCTGTTCAAAAAATTGGGGAAGAGTATGAACCGGACGATAGGCGAGCATATCTAATCCTATTAAAACAGTTTGTATCTTGAACTCCTTTTTTTGTTGACAACCATCTTTCCTTTAACCTTATATTATATCTGATACTGTTGTATGTCAACACCTCATATAATGTTTGATGTACTAGTGCAAACAAAACTTGTTATCAACTGATCCCCCATGAAAAAAAAACGTGTTATCCAATCTTTGGTTTCACAATATTCTTAGCAAAAGCAATCAGCCATTACCAGAAGATGTTGCAATATGTCAAAAAAAAAAAGAAAAAAAAAAGTGAAGTCAAAAGGTCATACTTACCACCCAACGCTTCACCCATCCATTTGTTTTCTCCTCCAAGAAATTGAGGTACCCCTTCCTCGATACAACAGGACTGACTCTCACTTCTTCAATGTCTGGAACATAGACTTGCCGGTCGGCATCTGGCTTTATGGGTTTTAAGGGTAGGGAAAATTTACGTTCTGAATTCTCAGCCATGGCGGATATGCTTTCACATGATTTGGACTGTGTCTTTATGTCTGGGGAAATGGGCCTAGAAGGAAGAAGACAAAAAAAAACTTCATTAGAGACAGAAAGAGTGAGCAGAGGAGGCTTAAAGGAAAGTGCCTCTTTTTGGGAGAGCATTCAATTTTTTTTCTTTTATACTCAAAATCTTGAATAGTCCTGAGTACAATGATAAACTACATCCAAAAACAAAGGCCTCTGATTGGGAGATTAGCAGTTTTGAGGACTGTAGAACTGTTTTTCCAAGATCCACCCTGACACTAGGTGGTAACACCTTTTAGGGTTTCAGCTATGGGCAAATAGTGAAACCCCCAAAACACTAGGAAAGTATAAAGACATTTTTTATAGTAAAAAATATCAGCAATACATTTTTATATAAAAAAAATTACAAAACATTTTTAAAGCAAAATGAACAGCAATACATTTTAATGTAGAATTACATTACATTTTATCTGTAGTTGAAGGCATACAATTGCATTCAAAACATTTAGATTACAGCATTAAATAAACTATAGAGGTTAATATGCCACTAAACAAAATCATCCAACCAAATCAAAATCTTGAAGACTTTTTTTAAGCTCATCTTGGAGGGAAAATTATTATTAATTATTCTATTGTTGGTTGTTTTTATTATGTTTACTTGTGTTTATGTGTTCAAAATGCAGACACAAAAACAAATTTTTACTATGTTACATAAAAATCAAAAGCTATAACATTAACAAACAACACTATAAAATAGCCATATATCCACCTGGATCCACAATCATTTCCACTCAATAGCCACTAAAATAATTTGAAACATAACCATTACTGCACATCTAAATAACCATTAGAATAATACAATAGGTTTACCCATAATGCATCACTGACCAGTAAATATAATAATACTTGAGCAAAAACAATGCAAATAGCAGGACAATTGCATTTAAGCAGTGTTGACTTCAATGTCCACATTATATATAAAAAACTATATATGACAAAAAGAAAACTTATTTAGTCAATTTTTTTCGTCATCTCATGGACTTTATCAAGGCATTATTTTGCAACAAGTATTTATAAACAGAAGTAAAGATATCCTTATTTTTTTCAGAATTTTAAAATATAAATCAGGCTAACTGAAAGTCAAGGTAAATTATGGAAGATGCTAAGTGATATAATTTAATGTCTAATAAACGAAAGTGAGTAAATGTTGCTATTATTGTTGTTAAAAAATTCATCAATAACAACATTTAATGACATTGTTTGTTATTAAGTGCTCTCTATCATATAGTAGGTAAATTGACAGGCTTCAAAGATGATGGCTTCAATTTTTCTTTTCCAAATGGAAGACAAACTTCTTGATTATTCTATGAGGATAGGCACTTATGCATAAAGTCTGGCATAAGGCCACAGTAATGGAGTTTAGAGTGAGAATCAAACTCATTATACTAAAATATATATATATATATATATATATATATATATATATATATAAAAGATGTGTTTGGTAATCCATATGGATAATTCCAGGGAGGAGATAATCCAGAGAGCTCAATGTAAAAACAGAGTAAATATTAATTATATTAAGAAACAAACAACTTTAAGGATTCATGGTGATTATAATCTATTTCCTTAGAATCAAATTTGATTCTAATTCCTCAGATCAACATTTTATATATATATTATATATATATATATATATATATATATATATATATATGATGACACACACATATGTACACACACATAAACATTTGCCTCTTTTTTTTGCTTGTTTTGCCTATCTAAATAGCTGAAAAAGATCAAACAAAATGAGACAAAAATTGTTTTTCCAGAGAAAGAACAGAAATAACTTTGCAAACTGAAAGAGAAGACATCATGGAATCACAAAAACCTTTTTGGCAAGCAAACAGTATTTGTTGGAAGCGGAAATTCTGTTCCGTCTTTGCAATAGGAAAAGAAGAAATGCTTCAATCTTTTTTGAAGAGAGAGAAATGGATGAGAAAAGCAATAGCAATCAATACTGCAACTTGCTGAAAAGAATGGGAGTGCATTTGGTAAGGGGGAGAAGAAGAGGCGATGCATGAAAGCTAAAAGGGGAAAAAAGGAAAAAAAAGGAAAACTATAAGACAGAGAGCAGAGCTTTGAATGGGTAAGTTGAAACCATGACGCATGAAAACAAAACTATTTCTGGCTAGCACTGAAGTAGATAAAAGAAGACACGAGAAAAGGCTAAAGAAAAACAGTTGATAGAGTTGCACAATAAGCGCTACAAACAGAAATAATCATTTTTTTGCAAAATGTTTTCTTCATATTACTATAGATTAAGCACTTGTGTTCCGTGTCATCTCTGGGTCCCAACGCTACTGCCTAAATGGTATTAACAAAAAGGACGATTTCTTTTTTCTTGTTTTTATTAGGGGAGAGGGACCAATGTGGCAGCTTCAATTCTAAGATACAGCAGAAGGAATGACATCACAGAAATGCATGTCACTTGTTGGCAATGCCTGCTCGTCTCTTGAACCTGGACATGGGAAGTGTGGCGACGCTTCAAAATTCTTGCAGTCCTCTGTTGAATTTGCACCATTTTAAATTTGTTGAAAATAAAAAACAAATTTTCTTTTATTAAATTTTATAAAAGTTAATTGCCAGTCGGGTGGTGAGGAGGTTTTGCTATATAAATTCATTGCAAATAAATCCACCCTATGGAAGGCAAAACAAAATATGCTCCTACCACAGGATTTCTTGAAATGTAAATGAATAAGAAATTTTTTTTGAAATTCATAATCTGGAGTAGCTTAATCAATAGTGATATCTAAAACAAAGCAATCCAAATTATGAATTAAAAAATTTTTCTTTGATTTTTTTTTTTTTTAATTTTAAGAAATCATGGACTATAAACATATCTTGTTTTGATTTCTGTAGGTGATCAATTTACACAATGAATTTACATAGAAAACTAGACACCCATCTCTATTAAACTTTTATAAAAATTAAAAAAAAATTTTTTTCTTAAATTTTATGTATAAATCTTAATCTATAGTGATATGATCAAAAAAAAAAAAGATTATTTCTGGTTGCATTGCTTATTACATAATTCCATCAAAATGGCTTTAAAATAAAATTAAAAAAAAAAGCTTCAAAATTGAGCAAAGCTGAAAAATGGAAAACATGAAAAATGCAAAACTGCCAAAAACAGCTATAAAAAAAAAGCTAAAAAATATCTACCTATTTACTATTTGGAATCATTCTGGTATTGATAATTCTATAATTTTGTAAACTTTACAAGTATATGAATGTGCTGACAGCATTTGTGACAGAAAGTAATGGCTAGAGTCTTGTATAAAAAACAGTAAGTAACTTAGGGTTCTTAACTCTTCATATTACTATTTATACCGAAAAGTAAAATTAAATTATTTACATATATATTGTATTTATTTATTTTATATATTTGTGGTCTGCAGATTTCTTTTTTTTTAAATTCATTATCTGAAATGAAAGATACTGTAGATTTTCCATGTGTATAAAGAATATCTATCACAGTGAGGGTTAAATAATTGCACCTCCAAATGTAAAAAGGATTTTACAAGCAAGTGATATTTAAAAATTGGTGACTGGTTGGAAAGGAGTTAACCTTGAAAGTTTAATGTGAAAGATTGACTGATCTAACTAATTTGGATTTTACAAGTACTTAGAAATACTACAAAGTCATCTGGCTTATACAAATAAAATCCTTTATTTTGTTCAAATATAAAGGAGAAAAATTAAATTTTGGGAAGAGAATATCAAAATTGATAAAAAATTTAACTTAGGCCCACACTTAAAATTCTGCTAGATAAGGACCAGAAGTTGGCTTACAGGGAACATAAAAGAAAAATGTTGAGTTTAACATTTATTGATTCAAATCTTTTCATTTTTTTTTTTTTTAAAGTTATCACAAATAATTAAGATATTATATAATTAAGATGCTTAAGTATTATATAAATATTTTCAAGAGCATGGACAGGTCTGGTTACCAGTAACATGTAACCCACTTTAAACTGCCACACAAATGGGTGGTTGGTATCTAAAACAGCTCCCTGACTAGCTTGTCCCTTAGTGAGCAGGGTGGCACGTCACCCTACAGGATGAAAAATAAAATCTGGCAAATGAGCTTCTTAAAGAAGCTGATGACCAATATATATATATATATATATATAGATGTGTGTGTGTGTGTGTGTGAATCGACATCTGCATTGAAGAAGCATATGGTGGTGCACAAGGATGACCTACCACAGCAACATCTGTTTAACTCTGTGAAGACTCTGGAGCACATCTGTCATTTGTGCTATAGGTCTTGCAAATCAGCTACTGGCTTGAAGAGCCACTCAAAGAGCCACTTATGTATGGAGCACTGTTTTTTAAAAATAAAAACAAAAATACTAAAGAACTTTGGATTATTAACTTAATAGTTCTTTCCTGTTTTTCTATATTTACACACACACACACATATATATATATATATATATATATATATATATAAAGGCTTGGATGGAGTTTCAAGGTTTGAATGAGGACCTTCTTGGAGATGGTATCTCGATAAAAGCCTTTGGTGTACTTGGACTACTGTGTGTGTCTGTGTTGGGTGTCAGGAAGAGTATCCAGCCTAAGTCATTTTGAAAAAAAGAGATTCTCTGTCAGGTAGGGCCCAGCTTGCTTTGTGCAAGATTAATCCCAGTCATCCAGCACCCCCCTCCCCCCAAAAAACACAGCTATAATGATGATAATGTAGCCATTGTTAGGCTTGTAAATTACCTCAAAGCATTTACTATGATCTTGGTTCTCAAATTCATAAAACAGCAAATTTTTCATTATTTTTTAACGTGGTCAACATCTGCAGACACTTCCTCATCCCCTGATACAATGTAATCTGTGACAATTTGCCAGAATCTGACCCACGTTTCCTGTCAACAAATGCAGCCAGAACAAGGAATTTGCTTAAATAAGAATGACAAACTAAGTCTACAGAATCAGGACTAAGCCATTCATTTATATTTCAAACTTGGTCAGAAAGTAAGAAAAAGAAAATAAAAAAAAAAAAAAACAACAAATGAGCTTAAATCGAGGCAGACTAGAAAAATGTTGAATCATGCAATTAGAAAAGACAAAACCCAGAAAAAAAAAAAAGAAAAAAAGAAAGAAAATATTGAGTAAAGAATAAATCAGAATTGGTCAACATTAGAATTTGTAAATAATAGTAAATTTAGTGGGAGGGTGTCTGCATTAACAAGATTAGTAAGAAACTTTTTAGTAATACTAAATTTATAGAATTATATTTCATTGGATCACAGAGAAGATAACTGAACTATTCAATTTAAAATGTCTTTAATGTTGTGGCTATTTATTTCGGGTTTTTGTAAATCTAAAAAATCTATTCAAAATATTACAATATTTTGAATATAGAAAACACCAGGTAAAATAAATGGTTTTCAGATGGCATATAAGAATTCCTCCCCATTTATATTTAATACTAGTGTACTCATGCCATCAAAAATGACGGCAATTATTAGAAAGTTTTAATAGTGAGATGCAAAAGTCCTGAAAGAATTCATTGAGATTCAATGAAGTGGAGATAAAGAATTCATAATAGACGCCAATGGACAGTTTAATTAATCTGTTCCCTTTATAATTTTACAGTTTTTAACTGTATCTGTGATTCTTCATTGATTACTTGCAGCATTATATGAATCGCTTTTTGCTCAATATCTTTTCATGTTAAAAATTTTGTTTAATATAACAGAAAAATGGAAAATATCTCTTAGAATAAAAGATTATCAATAAAATTACAAGCCTCTTTCAAGACCAAATTGAAGCAAGATGATCACTTAATAAACAAAGATATCCGAGCACCTCACATGAAAGATAAGACTGCAATCTAAGAAACATTGGAGTAAATGAACTGATTAAGTAAATGGTTCATCTTGCTCGAGAAGTAATCTTGACTAAATGCAGATAAATATTTTATTTGTATAGATTATGAAAATGATGAGGGGAAGTAATCACTCATAAATTTACTACCATTAGTGAAAAAAAAATATATGAGAAAGAGCTCTTAAAGTCATTGAAAAAGGAATGAAATCAATTATGAAACTTATACTTTGAGAAACTTTTGCAAAGAACACCAGAAATTTGTGCTGCAGTAATTAAGGCTAAAGGCGGATACTTTGACAAGAGCAAAATTTAATCATAAAATGCTTTTTTTTCTTTTAGTCATAATAAAATTTCTAATAAAAAGTCATGCCTGACTTTTTTTAATCATATATAATAATTTTCTCTTATTTAAAGTACAAAATAACTACTTTTGGACCAATTTAAAAAATTACCTGGGGTTCCTCAAACTTTTGAACTGTAGTGTATATGTATATATATATATATGTATATATATATATATATATATATATATATATATGCACACACAATGGTGGCCTGGGTTTAAAAATATTGGTTGCCAGGAGTCAAAGGAGATATACCCACAACCACAATGTTATCATTTAATTTTCATTGCGAATAAATAAAATTTTCAAAAAATACATAAGGAAAAAATATACAATTAAAATCTTTTAGGAAAAAATGTGTATTTCATAGTAATTACAGTGTAACATAGCTGATATAATTTAATTTTTAATTTTAAGTAATTGGTTGATATTTTTAAATAATTTACCGCACAGTTTACACATTAACAGAGAGTTCAAAAGTGCAACAGAGCATTGCATGCATTTCACCAAATTAAGAGCAATTATTGGTGTTCACTAGATGATTGTGCGAATCTGCCAATGATTGCTTCTGCATCCAATTCATTCATCTAACAATTCCTTTTCAATGGCTAGGAACATGTATGATTCCAAATTCTCCTCAGGCAGCAAATTTCTTAACCTTGTTTTTATGATCTTTAGTTTTGAAAATGTCCTCTCACACTTGACTTGAATAACTGATAGTGTGCAGATAACTTTGTAAAGTTCTTATTCCTTTTCATTACTCAAAAAGTTGTCTGTGTTTGTTTCTTTATTACATTTTTATTTGATATTGGGGGCCCACTCGGCATCAGGCAAGTTGATACCCTGGCTGGTCTGCACACAACATTGCATTTTAAATCTTATGTACTCAGGTTTAGTACACATGCAAATATTCTCTATTGTGTATAAACATTAGCCTAGCAAATACTTCAGCTTTGCCAAAAATCTCTGAAAATACTTTCTATGCCATTTTTTTGGAGTAGGGAATGGAAAAAAAAGAGGGATCTCATATGCCATCGATGCACAATTATTAGTTGAGAATGATTCAAATAAGAGACTTTTTTCTAATTGTAAAGATGTCCTCATGAACGAAGAAGGAAAACTCTGGGGTGGTAGAGCGAGATGGGCAATGTCTATTGAGATCTGCTGAAGACAACAACAATGACGAAGAACAAAAGAAGGAAAAGAAAAAGAAAAGGAAAGAAAATTATGTGGACAGAAAAGACACTTGCCACTTGTCTGAATGTCCAGCCTGTTGTGCTTCCGTAGGTACTGATACACTGTGTTAAGATAAGAGAGACAATTGTCGAAATTTATATGATAGAAAGAAAGAAAAAAAATGTTGTGAATAGGCATATTATCATAAAAAAATGGTAAGAAAAAAAATAACCGCATTACTTTTGTTAGATTGTTAAATTATATCATTTATTGTGAAATACAAGATGCCAATGAAATCCTTTTGCAGTTTAGATTTTCAATGAGCCCTAAAAAATAAGTAAATATAAAACAAAGTGCAGTTGAAAGATACACTTTTAAAATATTTGTCAATAATATATATATATATATATATATATATATATATATATTTATTTGGTTGGATTGATGTGAGTTTGTGACACTGGGTTTCACGCTTTTGCGATAAATCAGTTTGTCTGGCCATCACAAAAGCGTGAAACCCAGGGTGAAACTCACATCAATCCAACAAAAATAGCTCTATCCCTGATATTGAGTGCTTTCTAATAAGTACTGCATATAATATATAAATAATTATATATATATATATATATATATATATACACACACACACTTTTCACACATATATATATATTTATATACACACACTTTTCACACACACACACACACACACATATATATATATATATATATTCAACATATTAATCTTTGCATTCAAAATTAAGATGTGGATATGTTTTTAAGTTCTCTTTTTATTTATTTTGGCTTTTTAACCCAACACTGAGTCAATAAACTCTTCAGTATTATTGTCACTTTATTACTAGTTTGATTCCATCTTATTATTGTTGCTTTTTATCCCAACACTCTGGCTCAATACAATCTTCATTATTACTATTATTTTATTACTAGTTTTATTCAATCTTATTATTATTGCCTTTTATCACAACACTAAGATAATGTAAATTAGTAATAAAATAATAGTAATCATGAAGATTGTATTGACCCAGAGTGTTGGAATAAAATTATTAAGTGTGTGCAAATAATTTCCAGCAATTTTTCTTTATTAAAAAAAGGTTTATAATTTTTATTAATGGATTTTGCAAATGTTTTGTGCACACCTAATATTGATAATAAAAGAATAATTCTAATGATGAGTGTGACAATCAAAAGTGCTTTAACTGCACAAGGAATTTATAGATGTCTTGAATGTACTGACAGAATGATGATGTCTCCAAACAGAAGTGACTGATGACAGAGAGAAATGTCACTGTAGATTATCAACCAATATTTTTTAATGCAACAAATATACCATTCTAAGTAATTGATTGAATTTTTAACCAGCGGAACATTAAAGAAAATGATTCTCAAATTAATGCCCAGCTCTCTCTTAAAATAAAAGAGCACATAATTTTAATCTCACCCTTCCATTAAAGTATGTACTGGCATGGCATAATGGATAATGGCTCAGAATGAGAAATCTAAGAGTAGAGATCCAATTCCAGTTGGGCTTGTTACATTCACTTACATGCAAGTACCCTTGAAAAGGTACGAATCCATCTCTTCTCCTGCCAAGTCATGGGTTGAATAGCAGGACAGACTGGATCCTATAGCCTTGATTGGCAACCAGTTGACTGCAGAAATTACTTTCTTCTGCAGGAAATATTCTGCCTAGTCAGTCACAAATAAAAAGAGACATGATCATCCAAGTGCGTATTATGTATGTCACTTGACCGACTGATTTCCATTGAGATCCTCAATTTTTAGGAGACAGTTGAAAAAAAAAACAAACAAAAAAAACAAATTCCCCTCAGCTCACAATGTCATTTTGGCAACCAGATAACTTCCTTTGCTTGAAGAAAGATGCTGAGGATGAAATAGTTGTTACTTCCGCTCTCCTAACATTTTCTGCGGAAACAAGTTTCTACTTTGAGGAAAAGTGCCAAAAACTCACCTGAAGATGTCTGATGTGGTGCTGCTGTTCATATTGCTACTATGTACGCTCGTGTTGAGACCAGTGCTACTGGTGCTTGCCTGCATCACGTTGTCCCCGCCCATGGTTGCGGTCTCATCTTCATCAGAGATACTGCTTAGCGTGCTTTCATTGAGTACTGGATTGGGCTGGAATAGACAAGTCATTTTAATAAATGCAAAAAAAAAAAAAAAAAAATTGGTGTAATCACAAAACAGTCACTCATGTTATTTACATGGAGACTAATGTCCTCATCTTTGCATATCTTGAATGTTCTGAGTAGAAAAGGCTGACAGAAATATGATGTCACCAAAGTAGAAGTGAGTGATAACAGAGAAATGTCATCATAGATATCAACCAATATTCTTTAATACAACAAATATACTGTTCTAAGCAACTGATTGAATTTTGAACTGGTAGAACATCAAAGAAAAGGATTCTTAAGTCAATGACCAGCTCTGTTTTGAAATTGTTCTGATGTACAGGGTGCGGCAGAAATACCTCCCATATTTTATATTGTCACCTGTGTGGTGCTAATGAACTTAGGCAAGTGGCAAGGGAGTCTTTATCTAGCTAATGTCTTCCCATTTTTTTTTTTTTTTTTTTTAGATACCATCATGGCTTGGACTGATGCACATTGTGTGAATCTGTAATTGCAACATTAGAGAACTTTTTGTGCTCATTTTATGTTACATTGTAATGATTCTGTTCCAGATAGAAAATTGATACTGCTATGTGTGGAAAATTTCAGGGTCACAGGATCAGTGCTTAAAAGAAAGCCACCTGAAAGACCTCAAACTCCAGAAAATGCTTTAGAAATTGTCTATAACAATGTATGATGAGTAGAGTCCAACATTTGGAGGATGTCATTTTTAAAATCAAATGAATAAAAACTGTAACCCTTTGTTTAAACAACAGTGAAATAAATTTTTTTGATCAGCTTTTAAAATATGGGAGATGTTTCTGCTGCACCCTGTATAAAAATTTATATATTGTTTTCCTTTCTAATCCTTGTTAAATGGGGCAAGGAGTGACTTGTTAATTTTAATGCCTCCAAAATGCAACTGCTCTCTTTTAATTATCTGAGGGAACCCTTCTTACCTTCCATCAGTATGGCTGATGCTAACCTTCAAAAGAGTGACTCGTGTTGAGCTCGACAATTCTTTTCACAAGAATCTATTTTACATATTTATAAGTCTACCATTCGTTCTTGTTTTGAATACTGCTGCTACTTCTGAGACTACTGTTCTTGCTATATATTTAGAGATTCTTGATAAAATTCAAAGAAGGATCTGCAATGTTATTGGTCCTGACCTGGCATCTCAGTTTCAGTCTTTTTTCCCTACCGCTGTAACATAGCCTCTCTGTGCCTTTTCTATAAATACTTTCATGGTAATTGTTCTGATGAACTTTCCTCTATGGTACCTAAAATCTATGAATTAAGTCGAAGTACTAGATTAGTGACAAAGTCTCATCATTTTACAGTTAAAATGGCTAGAGGTAACTAAGTTCTATGCTAACAGTTTCTTCTCTCATACTTCTTGACTATGAAACTCTCTTATGGTTTCTTGCTTTCCAGTCAAGTTTGATCTTCAAAAATTTAAATGTAATGTCAGTCATTATCTTCCGTCTTTTAAATTCTTGTTCTTTTATTGTCTTCTCTCCTTTATTCTTTAACATTCAGTAAGACTTTGTGTCTTAGTGGTTTTATTGGTTGGAGATCCCATTCAACACTTAACACAATTTACGAAGAATTGAGACCAATATCTCTTGAGCGCAAACAAAAATGATTACAGTTTGCCAGTCACTGCCATCGAATGAACAAGGAAATTATCTCATCCTTACTCCTATGGCATCCTTTTGGAAGTGTCTTCTCTTGAAAACTGACTTTCCCCACACACACCATAGCTCGAGACTCAGGGTTAGACATTGGGGATCTGGGGACAGCAATATAGGATGGAATAGTGCGGAAAGGGATTGTCAATGGAGTTCCAACCAACCATAAGGAGGTCAAAGGATGATGATTGCCTTGTTTGGGGTGAAATGATTAAAAATAAAATCTATAATATAAAAGAAGGGGTGATTCTTTGTCTCGGTCGTACATTGTCAGCATGTGATTTTACATCAATAACAAGAGAAGATTAAAACGTTTTTTGATAAAGCTCTGTTACTACAAACAAATTAATGAGCTCAACTGCTTCATTAGGTGATTAATGAAATATAAATAAAAAAAAAAATTCTTGAACAAACAAAGCTTTGTATACCAACCTTGTTTTGAGAGCTGAGGGGTAAGCGGCCTTGTAATATAAGTCTGAGACACTTGGCTGTAAGTTCTTTGCTGGGGTCGCCATTAGTCTGAAAGTCTAGTGCCCCGGGCACTACACCTCCCACTGAGGATGATTTTAATTTCTTGTCAGCGCCATCAGTCAGCAGGTCTTTTTCTTCATCCTCCTTCAGCTCTTCTTCCTTGGCACGCTGTGATTTTTCTTTGGCGTACATATTGGAGGCGTCTTTATCCAGCTTGCTAAGCTCCTGTGTTTTATTCTGTTCACCAAGCTTCTCGCGTAGCAAGAGGATGTGTCGAGCTTTCTCGACCTGAAACAAATCAAGAAATAGCATAAGAAATCAATCATCCACATTTTCTTTATATTCCATTAGTAAGGAGTGAGTTCCATTCAGACAGCTTCTTTTGAAGAACTGCTGCTTTGTGGAACACACTCCTGGCAGGACATTTTTTCAATCACTACAATATTGACCTCTTCAAGTCTAGGGTTAACTATTATCTTTCCTGCATAAAACCCAATGAATTTCTCTTTTTGCCTTTTCTTACATCACATAATCAACCTCTACCTTGAGTTGCTTTTGGGTCTTGTATTGGGTGAACATTAGTATAAAACTATTACAAGGCCTATGTTTCTAAGTGAGGTTGTGGAATCACATCTGCCTCCCATCTGATTCACTCACACCTATTTGTGGAACAGACTCCCGGCAAGAAGTTTTTTCAATCACTACAATCTTGACCTCTTCAAGTCAAGGGTTAACCATTATCTTTCCATGAACTTTGTAGAGTAATTGGCCATGATTAAGTATAATTAGCAGAAATTACCAACAAAGAGAACTTTCCAATAAACAATAAAAAAAAGAAAGAAAAAGAACAGGGCAAAATAATACTACGCGAACAATATATATGCAAGACAAAATTAGTCAAAGCAACAGTAATAAGGCAAAAAGTGCTAAAAGTTAGAATGGTATTAACACACAAAAGGAATGCAGACAAGTGATTATGGCAGTCTAACTTCAAGAAAAGAAAGAACAAGAAAAATGGTGGATCGGACTGAGAAGTGTTCTATCTTATTGGCTAGGAAGAAATCCCAGCATGCATCTGTATTTATATATAAATTTGGCCAGAAGGATGTTTTTGTTTCTATTTTCTTTAAAACCTTGTCATTGCTCATATGTTCAGTCCATGGTATTCTCAGCATACTTCTGTATAACCACATTTTTGTTGCTTCTAGTCCCTTCTTCATCTGTGAGGAGATTGTCCAGCATTCACTGCCATAAAGGAGGACTGATATTACGTAACAGTTCAGTACTCTTTTCTTTGTTTCTGTTGCTTCAAGTCTCTTTTTCATCTGTGAGGAGATTGTCCAGCATTCACTGCCATATAGGAGGACTGATATTACGTAACAGTTCAGTACTCTTTTCTTTGTTTCTGTTGCTTCAAGTCTCTTCTTCATCTGTGAGGAGATTGTCCAGCATTCATTGCCATATAGGAGGACTGATATTATGTAACAGTTAAGTACTCTTTTCTTTGTTTCTGTTGCTTCAAGTCTCTTCTTCATCTGTGAGGAGATTGTCCAGCATTCATTGCCATATAGGAGGTCTGATATTACGTAACATTTCAGTACTCTTTTCTTTGTTTTGCTTCAAGTATCTTCTTTATCTGTTTGTACAGCATTTACTCCCATATAGGAGGACTGAGATTACATTACGGATCAGTATTTTTTCTTTGTTTCTGTTGCTTCAAATCTCTTCTTCATCTGTGAGGAGATAGTCCAGCATTCACTGCCATATAGGAGGACTGATATTACGTAACAGTTCAGTACACTTCTCTTTGTTTCTTTTAAGATTTTCTTGTGGCTTACTCACTCTGTTCATAGAATTCTCAGTATCCTTCTGTAGAACCAAATTTCTGTTCCCTTCAGTTTTCTCTTCATCCATGCATTTACTGCCATATAAGAGAATAGATATGACATAACAATCTAGCACTCATTTCTTTGTTTCTGGCAGGATTTTTCTATTTATCAGCACCTTGCTTACCTTTTGGAATACCTCTTTTGCAAGCTCAATGCATGTTTGGATTTCAGTGTCACATTTTCCATCCTCTGTTAAAATGCTTCCCAGATATTTAAACTTCTGTATTTGTTTGATGTTGACATCTCCAATTTATAACACACATGTTGGGCTTTTTCTCTTGTGGATGACCAGACTTTTTGTCTTCTTGCAGTCGATGGTTATTCCTTTTTTTTCTTTTTTTCTCTAGCCTGTCCAAGAGGCCCTGTCATTTTCTTTCTGTGTCAGGCATCAACTCTGTCATCTGCTTATCTTATATTATTAAGATTACCACTACTAATAATAAATCCTTTTCAGTTGAATAAATCTGAAGAGAAGACACATCCTTGTCTCACTTTGTTAAGTGAACTACTTGAATAAAAAGAAACAGTTTTTCTTTTGCTAGTACTGAACAAAAAAAATGTTAGCAAACAGAAATTATCTCTTACTATACAAAGTTCTGTGAATTAGCTGAAGTACAGTGAAGACAATGAAAATCATAAAAAGAAAAAAAAAGAGAATAATTGCCCAAAAATCTCTTTGAATATTAATGACTCTTCAATCCAAATTATAGGCCAATACCTTCTTTCTTGCAGTTCTTCAGATTATCTGCATCTCTACGAAATAAGGAATTTTACCAAATTTTTTTAAGGCCAGAATCTTCATCTTTTCCAAACCCTAGTGTTCTGTTCCAATTTCATGGTTGAAAGGGGAAAGAGTCTAGAAAAAATCTAGGCTGCAAAATGCAAAATATAAAACAAAAAGCAAAGACAATTATCCTTGTCTTGCTAAGCTTCCAGACAAAATGGTGACTACAAAAGGAGGTTCGGAAATCAGATACTTTACCATTTCCAGACGGGTGAGTTTTTCCAGCTCCCACTGGTGTTCAATAATGAGGGAGTCACCACGGGGTCTCCAGCCATTCAGGTTTTCTTCTCCACGAACATAGGTAGAGGAAGTGTCCAGGACACGACGTTGCCGTCTTTGCACACCTGTAATGATAATTATTTGACTTTATATATAGAATAAATAATTAAAAAAATAAATAGAGTGGCATTTTAATCAAATCATACATTGTCTTTCATTCTTTCTATTGGTCTGATATGTCTTTTGAACAGGAGTAGAGGTTTATCCCTTGTTCCACCTATCATTCACTTCACACTCCTCCCTGGTCTTTTGAAAGAAGTAGAATTTTATCCTTTTTTTCCTGTTTAGGATTGGTTTTGCAGTTGCTTCTAAAGTCTACTTCATCTCTATACTTCTAATATCTCTGCCTAAATTATGAAATTTTATTTATTATGTTTTCTCTTCAATAGGAGTAGATAGGTTCACCTATTGCCCAGTTCACACTCCTTTCTGGTATTTTGAACAGGAGTAGAAGGTTTATTCCTTGTTTTCTGTTTAGGATTGGATTTCTTGTTACTTCTAAATTCTTCTCATTCTCTTTCACTCCCAGTAAACCCTTGCTTCTTAGTAGCATTATCACCTTGCTTGGGGTGAATTGATTAAAAAACATATCAGAGCAGAGTGGAGTGGAACCAAATTGAGATTTTTTTTATTCCCTCTCTTGGAATCAAGCTTACATTTTAAAATTCTAATTTGACACAGCCAAGCCTATTATGCCCAAAAATTTGTATGCTAGACAATTGAAGCAAGATGAAAGCACACAGATAAGTGATGTTGAGATAAAAGATTTAATTGGTACTCAGACATGAGTCTTGAATGGTGGCTGGGTTTTGTCTGCCAAGAAATTTAATATACAATAACAGAAGCAGGAGTTATCATTATTTACACTATTTACATGCGGACTATTGTCCTCATTTCTGTTATCACAATGTTTTGTCTGTTGTGCCCTCTGGTCTTCAGGGAATTCTGAACTGAAGCCTTTACTTCTCGTTCCACTGCCCATGTCTAGGTATATCTTGTCTAGTTCTTATTTTTAGTACTGTTCAGTTATCTAGGATGAGAAGTTATCATTATTTACACTATTTACATTCAGACTATTGTCCTCATCTTTGTTGTTGTTATCACTGAATTTCTTGGATGAGGAGTCAACATTATTTACACTATTTACATTCAGACTATTGTCCTCATCTTTGTTGTTGTTATCACTGAATTTCTGGGATGAGGAGTCATCATTATTTACACTATTTACATTCAGACTATTGTCCTCATCTTTGTTGTTGTTATCACTGAATTTCTGGGATGAGGAGTCAACATTATTTACACTATTTACATTCAGACTATTGTCCTCATCTTTGTTGTTGTTATCACTGAATTTCTGGGATGAGGAGTCAACATTATTTACACTATTTACATTCAGACTATTGTCCTCATCTTTGTTGTTGTTATCACTGAATTTCTGGGATGAGGAGTTATCATTATTTACACTATTGTCCTCATCTTTGTTGTTGTTATCACTGAATTTCTGGGATGAGGAGTTATCATTATTTACACTATTGTCCTCATCTTTGTTGTTGTTATCACTGAATTTCTGGGATGAGGAGTTATCATTATTTACACTATTTACATTCAGACTACTGTCCTCATCTTTGTTGTTGTTATCACTGAATTTCTGGGATGAGGAGTTATCATTATTTACACTATTTACATGTGAACTGTTGTCTTCATTTTTGTATCTGGCCTTCATCTGGTATATATTGAGCCAGGTAATCTACAGGGAATTCCGAACTGAACCCATTACATAATCTACGGAGAGGTGAGTAGACTTTTCTCATTCCACTATCCATGTCTAGGGATATCTTGTCTAGTTCTTATTTTTACTTAAGCTCATTTATAGCTTGCTTTGTTTGCACTTAGTTCAGAGTTCTCTGCAGGTTTCCCAGGTTGATATACACCTGATGAATCCTGCAACAACAAAGATGAGGACAATAGCCTGAATAAAGTGTGAATAAATTTCTCATCCGAGAAATTCAGACAGAAATAACAGAAGTAGATTCTGAGGATAAGTTTTCTTTTTGTTGCCATTTTCTTTAAAATTTCCTTGTTGCTTACTCATTATTTCCTATCTCTCTTGCCCTGTTGGTGTCAAATTCTCCAAGTCCTCCTCCTTCAATTTGTGACCAAGAAAAATTTCAGCCCTCACTTTCAGATTCTGAGGATAAGTTTTATTTTTGTTGACATTTTCTTTAAGACTTCCTTGTTGCTTACTCATTATTTCCTATCTCTCTTGTCCTGTGGGTGTCAAATTCTCCAAGCCCTGTGTTCAAGAAATTTCAGCTCTCACTTTCTGATTCTGAGGATAAGTTTTTTTGTTGCCATTTTTTTAAATCTTCCTCATTGCTTACTCACTCCATCCATGAAATTCCTAGTATCCTTCTGTAGAACCACATTTCTGTTACCTCCAGTTTTTTCTTCATATTGGTAATTGAAAACATTTGAACCGTATATGAATTCCAGTATTTTATAAGTGCTACCTTTCTTGTTGGGTAACCATTGATTGACATATGCAGAGAACAAGACAATTGTGAAAGAAACAAAAACTAGTGACTTCTACTGCATGTACGTAAAGCCAAAGACAGACTTCGAAGAGGTGTGTGTGAACAAGTGTTGGCCAGGAATTCTATAAGAAACCCTATGGAAGAAACAAATTTGTAAAAGGGGAAGGGGAAGGGAAGGAGCATGATCTGAACTGACCACCAACTACAGTGCTCTAGAGAGGCAAGGGGGGAGAGGGGGGGAGGCCCACATGTTGTGCCAAATTACTTACCGCGGGCAAGCAACACCCGCTGGAGATCCCCACGAACAGAATAACTCTTGGGGCAGTTAACTATAAGAAGGGATAAGAAGTAATCTGTCATATGTGTACACACATGCACACACACACACATTTTTTATATATATATATATATATATATATATATATATATATATGTGCACATGTGTGTATATTCAGCTTATATTGTTAATTTGGTGGTCAGAAATCTAAAAAGATTAATAGAGTTATAAAGGATCAATAAAAAAATAAAAATAAAAAAGGGACCTTCAATGAGTTGTATTCCTAATACTATGATGTCAAATCATTAAAATACTAAATACAGGTACACCATAAATCATCCAGAATTTCCACAACTCTAGAAAAAAATTCTAAGATGGGATTTTGTATGGTAGAGTCAGGTATTCAGCCATTAATTTGTGTCAAGATTTCTGTTAGAAACTCTTAGAGTAAAATGAAAATCATATCTTGCAGTAAATGTAGAGATATCAAAATTCTTTGATTTGGAAAAAAACCCCAAAACAACAACAACAACAAAAAAAAAAAAAAAAAAAAAAAAAAAAAAAAAAAAAAAAAAAAAAAAAAAATACCTTTGTATAAAATACTCCATCATAGCCAAGCCAAAGAAAATTACAATGTTAATCAATATCATCAATTTTGGACTATTTCAGTTAAGCCTATTTCATTTCAAATTTTGGCCAAAAAATGCACAGCACACAGGAAGCCCAAAATAAAAGGGCATATAGACACATTCTCTGGTGATATATTAAATCTGACTTACCTGGGCTTCCAGAGTTATTGCAGCGGCGAAGAAACAATTCATACACTCCGCTCAGCCTGTTTGTGTCCTTGCGAGCGTATCCGCTGCTAAACAAATTACGCAGGGAACTACAAAGAGAAACAGCAAAATAATATAAAACATTCAAATCAAATTTTGAATTTGATCTTCAAAAATTTAAATGCAATGTCAATTGTTATCTTCTGTCTTCTTAATTCTTGTTCTTTTATTGTTCACTTTCTTTAATAATATTTTTCTTTTTTCTCATATTCTTTCACTCAGTAACCCCTTCTGTTTTAATGGCTTTATTGCCTTGCTTATAGGGAGATGATTAAAAAAAAATGCATAATAAAAGTTGTCTTGAATGGCCACTCATCTAGATCTTTTAACATTAATGTGGGTGTGCCCTAGGGCTGTCTTCTTGAACCAAGTTTGTTCCTTATTTTCATTACTGACCTTTCCAATGTCATCAGTTCCTGACTTGGTATCTCTGCTGATGATACAACTATTTACTCTTGTCTTTATGGCAATGGCTTCTCATTTTCTTTCACTCTTAATAACCTATTGCATCTTAGTGGCAATAGTCTTGCTTGGAATGAAATTATTAAAACAAAAAAAAATGTTAATCTGCAATAATTTTTTTCTTTGACTAATTGAGATTTTGAAGGCTTTTTACGACAATTATTTATTTTCAAACCTCAAGTTAAAAAGTTGTCTGTTTTTCTTTATTAATGAGTTGTTTCTCGTGTGGAGAATGAAATAAGAGACTATGGTGGTTCCAGCCATCAGTAAAGGTATGCATTGCTATTATGCATATCTGTAATGTGTAATGAGATAGGTAAAATATAAAACAGCTTGAGCCAAGCAGTTCTTTTAATATTAACATGCAAGTTATATTAGTTGAAAAGCTACTTAAAGACCAAATCAATGATGCATTCTGAATACATGTTCAATGGGGTATGAATAAGTTTTCTTTTAAACTTTGAATCCAGGATAGATATGTGTTGCTTCTGGTTTTTCTTTTATTACTAAAATTCACCTAATATAAGGCCCAAGAGCTACTCAAGGTAAAGGGTTACTGAGGAAGTTGTTGCATGAGCGGTAAGTGTAGGAGGTAAGAAATGCAGTTTAATTGGATATGTGGGTATTTAACGGTTAACACTAGACTTGGAGAGGTTAAAGTGGTTGGGAAAGCAGCCTCTCAGGAGTCTGTTCCATATAGTGGTTCTTGGGATGAAGCTGTTCAAGTAATAACAAAAAGGAACAGAGAGAAAAAAATATCATCTTTGCAGTTGGAAGATATCAATTTAATTGAAACATTGGATTAAAATGACAATTTCGATGTAATAGTTACATCATCATCAGCATTAAATGAAAAAATAGATCCAAGGTGACAATGAAAACAAGTCCAATTTTTTTTTTCCAGTATTTAAGATATGCCTATTTTGTATCCCTATTTCCAAAAACAAAATAAACCCCAAGAGATTATTATAGATTATTGTGCTAAGGAGATAAGATGCAGGAAATCTTTGACCCAATCACCATTTTTTAAAGCTGAATGTGTATATGAGAAGTTCAACAAAAAGATGGTTGATAAAATAAAAGTGAAATCATTAATTACATTCTAAAATTTCATCATTGGTTTCACATATTATAAGCAAATTAACATAAATATTTGAACACAAATTTCCTAAAGAATTTTCATTGTTTTATGGTGTAACAATGAATACATGAAGTGGGACCTGATTTTGCAGTGATCAGGATGAAGTCTAGATCTGGCAAAAGCAAGGTCAATAAAAAGTAAACCTGGCAAGACCAAGGTCAATGGAAACTGGACCTGGCAAAACCAAGGTAGATTAAAATTGGATCTGAAAGAAACAAAGATCAATGAAAAATTGGACCTGGCCAAACCAAGGCCAATGAAAAATTGGACCTGGCTAAACCAAGGCCAATGAAAAATTGGACCTGGCTAAACCAAGGCCAATGAAAAATTGGACCTGGTCAAACAAAGGCCAATGAAAATTGGACCTGGCACAATTTTGCTCAAATTTTGGCTATAGCTGTTTATGTTCAATTTGAAATTGTGTTCATTGGAAGGACACTTCTTCCTTTATGCTATTTCATCATCAGCTATCTTAATACAATGTCATGTCACTGGCACATCATGAAGAGATTGATTGAGTGAGTACTACTCTCCCACAACTTACAAGTTGCTGCAAGACCTATACTATATGATAATTTTTTAAAATTGTATTTCTCATCTTCTTGTCTTCAGATATTTAAAAATTTCTTTTTATGTTAATATTTCAAATTGTAATACATTCAATCTTGTTGGGTGATCTAAATGATTTGATCATCTAAAATTATATTTCTTGGATTCTAAGTTAAATAAATTACAAACAAAACACAAAATGCATAAAAAAACAAAACAAAAAAAAACATTGCAAAGAATATAACAGGCTAAGAGTTTAGGGGGTCGGGTTTGGTCACCCTGCCTCCCTGTAAGCACACAGCAAGGCTAAAACAAGCAGAAGAGAGATTGTAGAGCTATAGCCATTCAAAGAAAAGCAATGTAGCAACTGGATATTTTAGAGTATTAAGAAAAAAGAAAATATAAAAAATAAATAAGAGCAACCCTTTATTTTTCCCCCCATCTCCATGAATTCATACTCAAGGATTTCCTCAAAAAAGTTTCAAAGTATAGGTATATAACTGAAGTAGAATATATATATATATATATATATATATATATATATATATATATAGCTTCAAATGTCCTGTTGGAGTAACAGTTGAAAAAAATAAAACTTATTTCACAAGATTACTGGTACTATTTTATGATTCAACAGATAGTGGCTAAGAATAACATGGACTGAACATGGGAGCAATAAGGAAGTTTTAACGAAAAAGGCACTTAAAAGAAGAGAGTGCTGACCTGCTATGTAATATCAATCATCCTATATGGCAGTCAATACTGGAATAATTTCACAGATGTAGAGGAGACTTGAGACAACAGAGGTATGATTTTACAGAAGGAGGCTAAGAATACCATGGACTGAACATGGGAGCAATAAGGAAGTTTTAAGGAAAATGGAAACAAAATGGATACTTTTACTTAGAATCAAAAGGACAAAGTTGAAATTTCCAGGACATGCAATGTGGAAAGAGAGGTCGGACATTTTAACACTCACAGGACATAGTGAGGGACAGAAGGAAACTGTGTAATCCACATAATGAGCTTGTGTAAATGGAAGGGATAGTAAGCGGAAAAGCATTGCTTAGAGCTACAAAAGATAGGAAGTTGTGGAGAGCCATGATCCTGAAGAGACATGGTCCATAAAAGACTGTTTAGTGCATAAGTAATTTAGGATTTTAATCTAGAGATTTAAACCTATTGGCAGACTTAAAAAAAGTAAAAATATTCCAAGAAAGCTCATGTGAAACAAGACATAAAAACAATGTATTAGCAGCCGAATCACCCTTACTTACTAATGAAATATTCCATTGTTATGGCTATACAAAGTATGTTCATAGATTGCATGAAGTAATGCCTCCTGTGACTTATAACAACAGCATATATTATTACTAAGAAGGGAGATTACAGAAATTTTTTTTTTCTTTTGAAAAGTAGAAAAATTTGTAAGTATAATAACCAAGATAAGGACACTAATTCAAGTAAATTGGTGAATAATAATTTTCTACATACACATGAAAGCATGTCAGCTGCCAACCAGGGGAGGTAACATAGTTTCAATGCTAAAGCGTAACTGCCACCCCTGGTGCCACCAGCAGCTTTTGCCACCAAATGAGGTATTGTTTTTTGTGTAGACATGTCAGTCTCTGCAATTTTTATGCAACTGCAAACCAGATTTTGAACGTTTGCTTTTCATAGTTAAACACACAATGTTCTTATAGCGACTGTTACCAATGACATAGAATGGAAGGTAAAACAGATGTGTTTCACATCAGAAGTAATATTGTGTTGCGAATTAACTTTGTTTATTTTTGTTTTTTTATCTTGATGCCTGTTAAGCTGTGGTCTGGAGATGAAGCGAATTAAATTAAAAATAGAATAAACAGTACATAATGCAAAAGAACGTCTTAGAATTAAATCAACGGATCTATGTCCATCTTTGTTTTATAGCAATAGTAATAGTTCCACAAAAACTTCATTTAGTGTCCAAGAATCATAGACCTGTTACTTGTGATTAGCTATGTACAATGATAAAGTAAAAAAACTTTTACCATAGGTGGGTGGCAAGAAATCATCCCCACCCCCATCCAAAGCATTCAAGGCGTTAGTTGCATGCGGTTAGAAAGCAGAAGTGAAAAAATAAAATAAAAAAAATAAAATTTATCAAATCTCATATTCCACTCATATTTTTATACATTTAATTTCTTTTATTTTTGTGCATAACTTTTTCTCTTGGCTTTATAATGTGAAAACTTTTGAAAAACATTTTTTATCTGGTTTCATAATTTTTATCTGGTTTCATAATTTTTTTTAGTGCATTACTTTTTTTCCTGGTTTCATAATCTCAAAATTCTTTTTAGTACCTTATATTTCTTTCCTGGTTTCATGTGAAAACTTTTAGAGGGCATTATTTTTTCCTGGTTTCATAATGGAAAAGGCATAAAAAGTGCATGTTCATTTAAAAACAATTGCCACATATCACAAGCAGCAAAAAAACTTGTACATTTTTGTTTCTTATTTTTAAATAAATTTTGAAAATTGTTTATTAGGTATAGACCTTTGAATGATAAATAATGCATTATTTAATAATAGATTAAATAAAGTGATAATAAAAAAATCTCATTGTTGTCTTAAATCTTTTGGTAAATTTCAGAAAACAAGGCAATTTATTACTACCGGTTGCAAAACTAAGTCAGAGGTGCAAATCATTCAGTACTTGGTGTGGCAGATTGTCAGGAATAAAAATGGCAATAGATTCAAAGACAATCAAATATGGAATGGAACATGGAAGATAGTATTTGCACAATCACAGTGGTTTGCCTTGGTTACCTTTACACATTGTCTCAAAGAAATATTCACAACTGAATCATTTTTTAGTTCTTGATGCTGAAATAGACTTGTGATACTATGGACATC